ATCTATCTATCTATCTATCTATCTATCTATCTATCTATCTATCTATCATCTATCTACATCTTTCTCTTTCTTTCTATCTATTCTACCTCTCTTTATCTATCTATTCCAAGGGTCTTCAACTTCAACAGCTTTAAGGCTTGTGGACTTGAGCTCCCAGAATTCCTCTCCAGTCATGTCAGCTCGGGAATTCTGGGAGTTGAAGTCCACAAGCCTTAAACCTGCCCGGTGTGAAGACCCTTGCTGTAGAGATTCTGTTGCCTGCCCAGGTCTCAATCCAGACTGGCCCAGATCCCAACCACCCCTCTCCTCCAGCGCCCTCTGCGAGTGCAGCCCCACCACATATCTCCTGCTCCGGTCAGCTGAGGGGACTGGCAGCTTCCGAACCTGAGACGGAGTCCTTGGTCACGAGAGCTGGGCCCAGCGGGCAAAAGGTGTCGAAGGTTTTCCCTAGCAGCCATTGCTTCCCATTCCTCTTCATCTGCCAGTCTCGGGCACTGACGTCATGCGCCACCATGAATCCAGCCACATAGGCCATCGCCTCGGATTCCTAAAAGGGCAACAGAATAACCGAGTTGGAAGGGGCCTAGGAGGTTTTCAGAGCCACGGTGGCGCGGTGGTCAGAGTGCGGTACTGCAGGCTGCTTCTGCTGACTGCCAGCAATTTGGCAGATCGAATCCCACCAGGCTCAAAGTTGACTCAGCCTTCCGTCCTTCTGAGGTGGGTCAAATGAGGAGCCAGATTGTTGGGGACTTTGGAAACCTGCTTAGAGAGGGCTGGAAAGCACTGTAAAGCAGTATATAAGTCTACGTGCTATTGCTATTCCTTCTTTCCTTCCTTCCTTCCTTCCTTCCTTCCTTCCTTCCTTCCTTCCTTCCTTCCTTCCTGTTAAAATGTAGCATTGCAGGCTAACTGCCAACTGCCAGGAATTCAATCCTGACCAGCTCAAGGTTGACTCAGCCTTCCGTCCTTCCGAGATCAGTAAATTCCGTCCTTCCGAGATCTTGTTGGGGGCAAGAGGCTGGCTCTGTAAACCGCTTAGAGAGGGCTGTAAAGCACTGTGAAGCGGTATATAAGTCTAAGTGCTATGGCTATTCTTTCTTTCCTTCCTTCTTTCCTGTTAAAATCCAGTATGGCGGACCAACTCTGTCCACTGCCAGGAGTTCAATCCTGAGTGGCTCAAGGTTGACTTCCCCCTCCCAAGGGTCTGGAGGCCTCCCCAGGGCCTCTGGGAGAGTGAAAGCAGCCTCCCCCGGGCTCTGGAGACCCACTGGAAGCTGGAAACAGGCCCGTTTCTAGACTTCTGGGAGGCCCATTTTTGCCCCTCCCAGACTCTGCACTTACCTGCATCGAAAACGGGCTGCATGGAGACTCTGGGCGGGGCAGGAAAGGGCGGGGCCAGCTGGTCAGTTGAAATACCGGTTCGGTGAGCCGGATGCAAATTTAATTTAACATCCAGTTCGCCCAAACTGGTCCAAACGGGTAGAATCCCACCCCGATAGGTCACAACCGCTGCTCTCTTTGACACCCAACTCACAAGTAGTTTAAACGAAAC